AATGCAATCGAGAGCTGGGTCTAGGTCCCGCACACTCTGGAGCACCCTTGCTGCTATCTTTGGAATCGCGCAGATCCTGTCGCTGCGTCCTTCGGCCAAGGTGTGACAAAAAAACAAACTCAAGAAACACGCTTATCAGATCCGAGCGATCTCGCCAGCCTCCTAGGCCACAATATTATTACTACACAACATTTTTCCACTTAATTATAAATTTCAATGATTGGTTAAGCGAGAGCTGCCCGTCGTCGAGGGCGTAAGTCGCAAGGCGCAAGGCGTTCGGCCTGGTGGCTAATGTGGCTGCGGCAAGTCCTTGTTTGGGGCGCTGCTTGAATTAAAGCAGGAATGCCGACGACCGACGAGACCGACAACCGACGACCAGGAGACGCATGTGACATGCATAATGCAAGGCGCTGCCGATGCCGATGCCTATCCCGATCCCGATCCCGATCCCGATGGCGACATCGATACAATGGAGATTGCCCGATGATTGCTGAATTTTTTAACAAAAGCTCGCACGTGACAAATCCTTTTATGGCAGCGCACAAGCGCTGGCCAGGGACGCGGCCGGCTGGGCTGCTGGAGACGGAGACGGAGACGGCGCCGGTGCCGCGACGAGGGGCAAACGTGTTGAACGTTATGACAACTGCAGGCACGAGGCTGTCGGCTGTCCGTTGGTCGATCGTCAGCGGAGCATCTGGCCAGGGCACACATCGCACAGCAGGCGACGCCAGAACCAGTCACAGACGCAGCTGAGTCCAAGAATTCAACGGGGCAAGACATTTTCAGCCAGACCGAAGCACTGATGCCCTTTTTCGAGAGGGAACTTTCGAGTCTTAAGTAGACTTCTCTGGTTTTTTTTTCTGCTTGCTGGAGTGGGGCTGGAAAAACTTGGTTCGGTTCACGGTTCGAACGAATGTTTCGGCTACAGGTTCGGTTCATGGTTTATACTTATGAAGTTCACAGTTCGAATTGAATCCCAGGTTGAAGATTCGGTTCATGATTGGAACTGACGCCCGGCTGAAAGTTCGCTTTACGGTTTGAACTAGTTCCATGGCTAAAGGTTCGGGTAATGATTCAAATTATTGCCTTGGCTGAAGTTTCAGTTCACAGTTCGAATTGAATCCCTGGCTAATGATTCGGTTCACGATTATAAATGACGCCCGGCTTAAGGCTCGGTTTGCGGTTCGAAATAGTTTCTAAGGGTCCGGTTCACTGTTCGAAGCAAGTCCCTGGCTGAAGATTTGGTTTACAATTGGAACTAAAGCTAGGCTGAAGGTTCGGTTTGTGTTTCGAACTAATTCCACGACTAACGGTTCGGTTCAAGGATCGACTTAATGCCTCGGTTGAGGATTCGGTTTACGATTGGAACTGACGGCCGGCTGAAGGTTTAGTTTACGGTTCTAATTAGTTCCACGGCTAAAGATTCGGTTCCTAGTTCGAATTAAAATCTCGGCTGAAGTTTCGCTTCACGGTTCGAACTGAGAACCTGGCTGAGGATTCGGTTCACGGTTGGAACTGAACTGCAGAAAGTTTGGTTCAAAGTTAGAATTAATGCCTTTGGTGAAGTTTCTGTCCACAGACTTATGACTTATGGTTCGAACAAATTCTGTGAAAGATTTAACTGTTTTAAAGGGAACCACTTTCAGGTTCTTTTAGCCTTTGGTTAATCATTGAAAAACGGAGTTCCAGCCTTTACCCTTTAAATTCAATCTGCGATTTGAGTTAACTGGCGGTGGAACTCCTTGAGCTGCAGCTCAAGCTCATCAAGCATTTGCTGCATGATCGTGTGTATATAATGATTTGCACACTTGCCATTTAGCTGGCTATCGAAGGGTACATGGGTTTTAATTGCAGGCTGATCGGCGGGCAAAAGAAAAAAAAAAGAGAAGAGAAGCGAAGAGAAGCAGCAGCAGCAGAGGAACGCTGCGTAGAATTCTTGCATTAATCAGAAAGTCAACGGAGCTGCCAAGCATTCGATCATAAACGAAAGCAATTGGCGGCCACTCGCGAGTCGCGAGTCGCCTCCATTATCATAATCAGCGGACGGAGCGCAGCGCAGCGCGGCTCGCAGCTGGCAGACGCCAAAAGCCTGGCCAGCTTGGCCAGGTTGGACAGCTTGGCCAGCTGAACCTGTGCCGAGCACGCACCAAGAAATTCCTGCGGCTTGTCTTGAATGGGGAATGTCTGGTCTGGGGCTGGCGGAGCGGCAGGCTGGAGGCGAGGACGGAGAGGAATGCCACAACCTGGCCAGCTGGCGATGTCTGCGATCGGGTTTATTGAATAAACATTGGACGGGCTGAAAGGCGGCCCAGTCCGGTGGCGTCTGCTCTGCTGATTTGCAGCGCTGATAGGCGGCGGAATCAGATCAGCTGCGGACTTTGGAGCCGCCACAGCGTTGTTTGCTAGGTGCAAAATGCCTTGCGCCTCGGACTCTGGGGATGCTAGTCAGCTGGCGGCTTCACTCCAGTTGTCCAGTTGTCCAGTTGCCCAGTTGTTGCCTAGACGCGGCATTAAATCAATGCCAATCCATAAATGGTCCATACGACGCGTCGATTGTATTATTGGAATCTCTTAGCGATTTCATTATACCACAATAATATCGCAAATCGCATGAAAAACGGCCACTTTACAACGTCCAACGGCTGTCTCTCTCGCCATTTTCTAGCTAAACAACAACAACTTTAGCGGTTCGGCTTCAAGGTGTGAGTGTGCTCCAAGCTAGTTTTCATTCGAGATCGAAGTTGGATCATAATTCTAGAAGCTGACAGAAGTTCTTTGTTGATTGTGACTTGGATCATAATTCTAGAAGCTGACAAGACTTCTCTGCCTATTGTGACTGGTTGGTAAATCACTTGGTTATTGTGACTGGTTGGCAGATCATTTGGTAGAGGTCAGATTTAACAGATCGTAGGAATTACTAACTCCACATAGATAGAGAATCCGTAGCTCGGTTTCTGAGCTGGCTTTTACAAGTTTTTGTACCTAAACTTTATCCCAATTTGATTTGACAGATCTTCCAGCAAAAGCTTATCAAAGCTGCGTATAAGATCAGACTAACCTTTATCGTCAACATTTCTGGTTCCATTGAGATCTATGTAAATAGCATGGAAAATGCTGTAAGCTTAGTGTTAGAAGTTAAATAATATATCATTGAGTTATTTAAGAGTTCCGTATTTTGTCTATAAAATATTTTTGGTGGTGGACCAAATCAATTTTTAAAAAGTTTTCATACGGTTCAGATTTAGGTTCGGCTGCATTTTTAAACCAATTATTCGGTTCTCTAATCGACTAAAGGTTAACATATAAAATAATTAACCAAATTCTGTTAACACTTATTTCTCTGTTTACCAGTTATCTCTTTATCTGAAAAAGTTTGAAAAAGTTTCTTCTTAATTATGTACAAATCTGGAATCCTCGAAGAAATTTATTCTGTCTTTGCTCTGACTCGAGTCACCTGTCTTTTCTCTGTTTACCAGGGATCTATTTGTCTGACTAGAATGAATTATGAATAAGTTGTATTTTTTGTATTATATGGAAATCTCCAGTCCCCGACAATGTGTATTCTGTCTTTCTCTGTTAACTAAGGATCTTTTTGTCTTAATAATGAAATTGTTTTTTTTTTTATACAAAAATCTCGACTTCTCGAAGATGTGTATTTGGTCTTTCTCATGGTTCTGTTCAGTAACCACTTTCCCTGCATCAACTTTAGGTCTGGTTGTCTTTATTTTTTTGTCTATAAAATTGATCTAGTCCCAATTGGTCTGCAGATCTTCCATGCTCGTATCAGGAACTGACACTTTTATTACTTGATATAATATTAATTTCAAGTCCATTTCGACTTAAAGAGCGTAAATTATATAGAACTATCCTCCCAATATCTCCTCTCCTACTGATTTATTTCATTTTCAGCTTGGGCACTTTTTTGTAAACCAATTTAAGATATTATCATTTTTGTCGTATTCCCATTAAAGATCGTCTGTACTATATAGAGCTTATCAACTCTATAGCTTGTCCACATGCTGCTCCGCTTTAAGGCCAATCGATTGTGGTTTTCGTTTTAGGCATAGCTCCCATCCCACAATTATATATCCATCTATCCATTTGTCTAGTCCATTGTTGCCTGGCCTCCACACACACACAAAAAATTTCTAGAATTTTTATTTTTGCGGCTGCTCGTTTTGACTTGTGGTCCATGCCAAGGACGTGACAATGTCAAGCAAGGCACCAGGGGGGCGTGGCAGGGGGCACACGAGGAAAGCTACAGTTGCTGGTCAATGGTCAATTTGGCAGCAGTTTATTTTGATTGTTGTGCATCCGGAGCAAGGATAACGATGTGAGCACGAATTGGCACAGCACCAACTGCAACTGTCCACGTTCCCACAGAGACAGCCTCACTCTCCAACTCTCCAACTCACATAGAGCTGTTCCAATATTTTTGCCATAGTCACGAAATGTGCTGATAACATTTCCTAAACCCTTTTTGTCCGGCTTGTTGGGGCTGGTAAGTTGCGGGCGGCATTGATGTCCTGCGGCCAGCACGCGCTCTGCTCTCATATCTTGGCCAAAAATATAGACGCTTCTGCGTTTTTTTTTGTGCAGGTGTAAATGCTTTGGAATTTATTGATAACCATTTGCTGGTCACATAACCAGCGGGAGAAGCATTTGGTATACCCTATTCACGAAGTGGCAAGAGGGTGTGATGGTATTAAGAAATGTATATTAGTAAGTGGTTTTCCACATCCATGAGCACAGGATTTGCCTCATATTTTCATATCTTTTCGAATTTTGTATCGTACAATTTAATTTTTAAAAAACTAATGCCCGTTTTACTGAAGATATGAAGATAGATGCGGGCAACATTTCATCTCTACCCGAAATGGGAAGCTACCATATATGGTTAGATAAATCCAAACGTTGGGGCCACAGCTGATTATGCTTTCGTGCTGGATCTTAAGTTTCTTTTATTTTGAAGCAATTGTTTGAATTGGCTGTTTTTTGTTTTAAATCCAGTTTGCGGCCTTGTTATCTGCCGCAGTTTAAGAGCTAGAGCTAGTCTACAGCCAGGTAGACTAATTATGATCTATTTTAAAGATTTAGCCAAAATATTGCCACCACGCCCACATCCAACGAATATTTTCTGGTCACAATTTAAAAGCCATTGTCTTCGGCTTACAGTCTTAAAGTTAGCCAGTCAGGCTTACATATTTATAGTAAGCTCAAACAGAATCTTTTCCTCTGATTAAGGCTGTTATCAAACTTTGAACAGAGTATTGCCACGTTCGGGTAATTGTGAGTTAGGCGTCCTGCTCCGTGTTTTAGGTGCAGTTATAGACCTCGTGCTCCGCTCATTAGTCAAGTGGCCAGGTTTGAAATCAAATTAGTTGCCGCACATTGTGTAGCGACTGCTGTAATGGCCACAACTAATTATGTTGAATAAATTTTGGAATGGCCAACGCACCTGACATTTATGACGGCACTAAAAACAGAGCTGGCAATGTTTGCTTTTGGGCCAGGCGGCGAGACCCCGCTCTATGGCATTTGAATTCAGTTTTTTTTTTGGCAGTCGTCAAAGGTCAATGAAACGACATCGTGGAGCTGACCCTGTGCAGTCGCTTCAAGCTCAAGTGCCTCGCATAATTGTGACGTCCGGGCGCGGGCACAGAGTGCGCATCATTAACCTGTGTGTGTGTGCCGTCGTCCGGTAATGAGACATCAAGTGCGCGCCACTCTCCTAGGACACGCGCTGGCCATGTTTACACCTTGTTGCAACAACGGCAGCTGAGCGCGCGCTCGCCCTGATTGTGTACAGACGACTGCGGGGGGATGTGAGGCGGATGCATTGCCGTGTTTGCCGTGTGCAGTCGCTCGGAAAACTCTATAAAGAATATTTTTGATTGTTAGTCAGTGGCAATGATATCCGATTACTAAACATACAAACCATCTATACACACATACATACATACGTATAAGCCTGGCAGGCAGTCGCCGTTTCTAGCATTAGCGAGGGGGCTGCCCGCGCGCTCCTAGTTTGCCAACAATGCGTGCGCTAAGTGAAATGAAGTCTTCTTATACTCTAGCAGAGGGTATTATAAACTTGTAACTAATTGTGAACAGCTCATGAAGTGCAAATATTCGCAGTATAAATACATATATCGATTATTATGGTGGGCAGCAGGATAACAGATAACTGAATTATACATAATCAAATTTGTAAAATCTTTTTGCTTAAATGAGAATTCGTTTGCTTCGTTGAAACCTCTTATAAGCCATAAACCAATCATAGCGAAACATGCAGAACCTTTTCTACAGGGATTGGACTACTATATTGTATAGATCACATTTGTGAGACTCTACATCTGACTACTATATCCTATAGTTTCCAATTGACCAAATCGATCGCAAATTGAATTTCTATGTGAGCACAGTCGCTTATATCTTTGCTAGGGTATTTCAACTTCGGCAATTCGAAAGAGAAACTATTTTTTCTTGGTTTTTTTTTTTTGCTTCCACTTCCATTTCCATTTTGCCAATCTTTAGCGACGAGCTGCCAAACAATGACGTGGAGTGGCTGGCTGACTGGCTGGCTGCCTTTGTGCCTTGCGTGTCATTCCATTTCCGCCAGCCGCCGAATCGCAAATCAAACAACGACGACAGCTGCTCCTTGGCAGCGCTTTGCATATGCACAGATCCTTGCGTATATACAAAAGGGCACACTCACAATCTTAATCTATATAGCCAGCGTATATAGCTTTTGATTTGCAAATGTAGCGCTCCGCTCCGCGTCCCTCGCCAAGACAAAAGATACGGCGTCAAAGGCCAAACGTCAAAGCAGCGCGTCTACAAGCAAATCACAAATGAAGTCTTGACATGCGTGTGCTATATACGATTCCTACATATATACAGATGTTTGTTTGTGTAGTGCAGTGTGTTGAGTTGTTGTTGTTGTTCTTGCTGTGCTGCTGCTGCCGCTCTGCACACAGGAAACTGCAGAAAGGTGCAAACGAACTTCCGCTCCAAATCAGTTTTCGATTTGTTGTTTAGCTTCAGCTACAGCTCCAGCTGCTCTGGGAGGTTTTTCTTTGCCGGCACGCGCTAAATTTGCACAGTTGTCGCAGCCAGCAGATGCAAAAGAAACCCGCTTTGGCTTGGCTGGCTGCTTGGCCCACATAAGAAGCTCATCAGTGGATTGGGCTAATCAATCATCATCATCCAGTACAGTAGCCAAAATGACTGAAAGGCTGATTACCTAGCAGGAGACGCCGTTGCCTTTTGGCCTATAATTAGCCAAAGTGTAGTAGCTGGCGCAGGAGCAGGATCTGACAGCAGCAGGAGCCGGCAGCGACAGGTCCTGCAAGGCAAATGTGACTTTAATGAGTAAAAATGTGATAATTAGTAGACGCCAAGAGGCCGACAAAGACAAACCGTTTGCCGCTACCTTTTCGTAATTACACCAAAAAAATCATTTGTCCGGTAAATTGCGCACTGGGCGGGCGGACCCAACAGCAAGAACAACAAGTGCCGCCAAATAATACAAAATCCGTTGATTGCATTTTGGATTTACACCTGCACCTGGACAAGCAATGCAAATTGAATTACGGCGCGCAAAAATATTGTGTTTCAATTAGATGAGGCGCTTCCGTGGTCATTGATGCTGCTCCAAGGTGGCTCTAAGCAGCTGGCCAAAAACAATAAATAAACGCTGTCCTAAGCTGGCAAAATATTTGTGTGTTAATTAGGAGGCATTGGCATACATATATATATACTTACTTACTTACAGCTCTCTTGAGGGGGACTACAGTTTTTATAGTTTGTAGTCTTTAATAATTATCAGAAGTTCTAAATATTTATGTAAAATCGAGTATAGTCGATTTTAGGGAGGCTGCCAAATTGTCAGTATCAGTGCTACCAATTCGGCTAGGGTCTAGCTAAATCCGGGTATATTGAGAGGTCGTTATTCGAAAACAATTGGAATCGTGCTCTAGCATACCTGTCTACTATTAATACCAATATTCAGATAGCTTGTCCAGCTTTTTTATGGGGTCTATTGGCCTATAATCTGGTGATGCATCGTGCGGGCGGCAGTTTATAAATATTGCTTAACTGCTTGGAATAAAAATGTCAACACGCTCAATGAGGGCACATAAAATGCATAATGGAGTGCACAACGTTTCGTCGCCAGCAAAGATGTCCTTTTTTGCGCATAGCCCATGGGCTGACAAAAACACACGCACACACACACACAGACAGGCAGGCAGAGGGTGCAACAACGTAATTCAAGGGAATTTTTTCGTAGGTGTTCCTCTATAAAGAGACGCCGCCGCCCATCTGTACCCATGTTGACCATGTCCTGGTTGTTGGCTGTTCGTGGTCGTGGCCGGGGTCGGAGGAGTGCGTTATATGTTTTGCGTCAATTTGTCGCTTTATGTTTGTGACCTAAAAACAACGTTGCCACACATCCTACTCGCCACTGTGAATGAAGCATAAATAGAAATGGGTAGTAATACAGTTAAGGTATCCAGCATATATACCTGGGCTGGCCGCATCGTGACGTCATGCGGTGCTGGGCCGCTTGGTAATGTCATTATCAGGCTCAGGCCGCAAAGGGACGACGTCGGCAGTGACCGACCAGGGCCCAATGTAATTCGCACACCCGTCGTGCACGTCACAAAACAAATGATAAACATTTTATTTGTTAGAAATTTTACGGCGGCGGCGGCAATTGGCCCTATTTTGTTGTCGCCTCATCGTTTGATCTCTTGTTATGTTGACCAAACCAGATTTATCACAATTCCACAATGCATTTGGGTGTTCCATTGTTCTTGGCTCAAATCCTTTGTCAACAGCTAACAATTTAATACGCAGAAACGACAAATCGGAAGTAAAACATGCCCTATTTGAATTATTTCGGAAGTGTGCATAAAGAGGGGAGAGATAATGCCAATGCAACTCTGGGTGGGCAGCAAGTGGGCAACGCCGGCAAATAAACGCAAAGAAAAGATCGCAAAGTTAAGCACATCGCGGCGGTGGCGACTTTGTCATTTGACTATATAAAAGTTGTAAATTAAATGTTTTATGTACTCGCGTTAATTGTGGCTTAAATGCAATATTGAGTATTATGTTATCACGCTATACAAGTCGTTGAAATAATAAGTGCCGCTGGGAATTGTGTCAGTTTTATAAACTAAAAGCGCGCCAAGTTACAAGTTCATTGCGTAAGTAGGCTGCATAAATATACAAAACATGTAGATAATATATATTTGCTTTTGTAAAATAGTTTTATTTTCCATTAATCACGCGTTTTCAATGAAAACACAATGCCGTTATAATTGTGATTGTACGCATGCATTATGCATTTATTAGCTTATTCGTGTGTGCATGTGTGTGTGTGTGTCTGTAGCGTTGCCACCTGGCGTTCGGGTAGGAGTGTGAGAGAAGGAGATAATATAAATGCGAGTTTATGGGCACCGCAGGCGATTCATCAATTAAAACAAATTTGATAATTACTAATATTAGACTGTCGCGCGGCTAACTAGCAGCGACACTTGTTACCTCCCACGGCCCCGCCGCGGTGACCGCAACAACCATGTTGCGGTTGCGAGCGGAAGTAACTATTTTATTCGCCTTCCCTTTTGCCCATTTAGTTGGCGAGCTTAATTTGTGGATTGTTTTTGCCTTGTTTGTATACCCTGTAGCAGACCAATGGTTTGTTGGGGTATCATACATCTTTTGTAAATGTATGTGGGTACTTATGAAATAAAACATGTTCATTTAGCTAGTCGGGCAATTATGAAAAGTGTTTTTTTTTGCTTCGCATTTCGTAATCGTGAATTTTAATTGCGCGTAGGCTTCATTTGGATTTTCTTGTCTCGCTGTCGCAGTCTCAGTTTTAATTAAACACAATATACATTTTCCGCCTTTTGCAGATTTGCGTGCTGTTTTTTTTTGTTTTTGCTGTTAGTTTTTATGAGCGCCTTAATTGGTCCGCCCCGCGTGCATCTGATGTGAACATCTTAATTACATAATAAAAATTATTTCGTTTTGTAAGTCCCTCGGTCCTAACTCTAGTTTAGTCAGTCCCTGAGTTTTTTTTTTTCGTACAATCGTTTTCATAATTTTATGGCTCGTTTAGTTTTGGGGTTAAAATGAATGTTTCTGCTGATTTTGGCCGGCAGATAGGTCCAATTGGAACGTGAAGAAACCTAGAGATATGCCCAATTGGAACGTGAAGAAACCGAGAGATTTATCGTGGCTGCGATTTATCTTATCTTTCGCTCTGTTTAGCTTTTGCTGCAAAACTGTTGAAAAACAACCTTCAAATTGTTCTAATTTTGGAATCAGTTCCAAGCTGGACAAAAAAACTGGTTCATCTTATGATTCGAAAGCTTCAAAGTTCGGTTCCGACGATTCCTGTTTTATATAATAATCTGTTCTTTCGTTTCTGGATTTTCGTGATCTTCAAATTCTTTATATTTTGGAATCAACCTCAACTATGACAACTAGGACACACGTGTGGATAACTATATAATAACTCAATATGTGCTTGATTTTTCCGGCGTGTTGCAGATGAGCGGCAAGCGAACGCGCAGCTTTAAATGCGCGGTGCATCATCGGGATCGTGAGGTTTGCTCTGAGAACGACTTTCAGCTGGTGCTGAGCGAGCCGCCGCTCTTTAGGAAGATGGTCCATGCGGTCGCCCTGGAGGTGCTGCCGGAGGAGCGCGATCGTAAATACTATGCGGATCGCTATACATGTTTCCCGCCGCCACTTTTCATCATCCTGATCACAATCGTAGAGGTGGGTTAAACAACACAACATTAACTACCATTCGATGGAAAACTGAATCTGGAAATCTGAATTGCAACCAACAGCTGGGCTTCTTTGTGTATCATACGCTGGCGACGGGAGAGGCGGCGCCAACGGGTCCCATACCCAGCGATTCCATGTTTATCTATCGACCAGATAAACGGCACGAGATCTGGCGTTTCGTTCTATATATGGTGCTGCATGCCGGCTGGTTCCATCTGGGCTTTAACGTGGTCGTTCAGCTGCTCTTCGGCCTGCCGCTGGAAATGGTGCACGGCTCGACGCGCATCGCCTGCATCTATTTCTCGGGCGTGCTGGCCGGTTCGCTGGGCACCAGCATCTTTGATCCTGAGGTGTTTCTGGTGGGCGCCAGCGGCGGCGTTTATGCCCTACTG